ACACAATAAAGACAAGGGAGAGAGGAAGAAGGAGAAAAGGGAGAGGGCAATGTCGGCGGACTGAGCCGGAGGCTCTAAAGTTTCTGGCTTGGAGAGGGCAGGGCAGCCGTGCGCTCCATCTAGGTTGGCTGCGTGACCTACCTTCTTCAAAATACCAACTGACTCAGGATGGCAATCGTCACCAGCTCAAGGGTGCTGTCAGGAGCAACACGTGTCAGCTGAGCACTTGCATTGTAACAATCTGCGAAGCTGGGACAAAGGGGCCCAACGAATCAGACATATGTGTCTCCCGTGTCATGCGCGAATTGCCAATGGTAAAGACCACCCACAACGTGTTGTATCTTGAATCTTGCTGACGACGGTGGACAGTTGTGCTCAGTTTCTATGGCATAGACGAGTCATGTGGCATTACGATCATAACATGTTGTGGTGGCAGCACCAAAGGCAACTTACAGCACTTCATCGATCCAAATTGATGGTGCCTTCTCTGCTCATGCTGCATTGAGCGGCATGGATACTGTTTCACACAATATGGTGCCGGAAAAGCCAGCAATGCCCGCTTCGTCCAGAAGGACGCTTGCTGCAAGACGAGGGGCCAAGCATCCCAAATGTCCAAACCGAGGGCCTCAAAGTACTCCCGAACTGCAGGACTATTGATTTTCTCTTCGAACATCCCCAAGGTAATGATGCCAGCATCATTGTCCTGAATGGCAAGTCAAGGCCGTCCGCTCATTGCTGATCAAACAATCCAATGCTGATGCTTGATGCGCACTCAGTCACGTCAAGAAAACTCAAACACAACCAAAGCGTCCTGGCCGTTCAAGTGGTTAAAAAGGCTGCGCAACTTGGCAATGTGCGCCGCCTTGTTATCCATCAAAGCCTGCGCAAGACTGCAAATGGTTTCATGCCAATAACGAACATCCGTTGCATCGGCGCGTTGGAAGAGGATCAACACTGTGCGAAACATGTCATCATGTACGTCTGCTGCATTCGCGCGTCCGCGCCTGAACAACCATAGCATGGTCATTCTGCGCAGATTCTATAGCACTTTGACAGAAAACACCAGTCACAACCTGCAGGAAAAAGGCGTAGACGTCAACCCCAAAAGCAAGTGCACAACATGCGATGACAAGAAGCATTGAGAACAAAGAAACAAAGCTCGGAAAGCAAATCGTGCGCAAGCCAATGGCTCGGGGAGGGATCCCCAAACACAAGGGGCTACATCACGCCCAGTTTGATGTGCAGCCAAGGTGCATTCAGAACTGCAAAATACGTGAACGCGACATAAAAAACGAAGCATAGCGCCCACACAATGGATATCCTGAGCAGGATGCAGGTGTTTGCAAAACCATCTTTGCTCGTTCGCAACCTCACCCCAACCACACATGACACGTTGCCCAACCCCGTTTCACGAACCACTTCCGAAACAGACGCACACACAAGCAAAAAACACTTCGCTTCGAGCAATCCCCACCCTCGACACTCACGAGCTTACGACAGTTACAACTAATTCCTCCGCGGGATACAGGCGGGATCCACCGGCGAGCTACTCTGGGATACTCAGCGGGATACTCGGCGGGATCCGCTGGCGGGCTGCTCTGGTGGGATACTCGGCAAGATGCACTGGCGAGCTACTCTGGCGGGATACTCGGCTCGGCGGGATCCACTGGCGAGCTACTCTGGGATACTCAGCGGGATACTCGGCGGGATCCGCTGGCGAGCTGCTCTGGCGGGATGCTCGGCGGGATCCACTGGCTGGCGACTCGGCGGCATCCACTGGCGAGCCACTCTGGGACTTGGCGGGATCCACTGGCGGGATGCTCTGGTACTTGGCGGGTCCACTGGCGAGCCGCTCTGGCCCTTGGCGGGATCCACTGGCGAGCCGCTCTGGCGGGAAACTTGGCGGGATCCACTGGCAAGCAGCTCTGGCGGGATACTCGGCGGGATCCACTGGCGAGCCGCTCTGGCGGGATACTCGGCGGGATCCACTAGCGGCGGGACACTTGGCGGGATCCGGCGAGCAGCTCTGGCGGGATACTCGGCGGGATCCACTGGTGAGCTGCTCTGGCAGGATACTCGGCGGGATCCACTGGCGAGCTGCTCTGGCGGGATACTGGGTGGGGGCGTGGTAGAAGCATCGCAAACGCGGACTCCCGTAAAATCTAACAACCCCTTCCTGTCAGGCGCGGAACAGAGCGATTTGCCCCACACCTTTTCCATGATCGAAATCCTGGCTGCACACGCGCTTAACAGAATCTGTACAGTCATTGCTGTCGAGGGGGGCCGGGCCTACTTTGCGCTCCAACTGTGGCTCAGCGCCGCAAAGTTGTCACGAACCTTGTCGGAGGGGTCACTGCTGAAGGCCCACAACATGCTCCAAGCTCAGCATGAATCTTGCCCTCCATCTCGCAAGCTCAACGCCGGTCCCTTGCACACGCTTCTGAGCTTGTCAGCCCAAAACCCAGCTGTCCTCACAAGCGAGGCCTGGGCACTTGCACATGACCTGGAGCTTGGCGGGAGGCAAGTTGCAAGTTGTTCAACGATGGCCTCCAAACATCCTCTTAACGGCAGGAGGAAACCCAATGAAGAAGAAGGCACAGCAGCTCAATGTTATAGCCCTTGTTGTCAGAGAGAGAGAGAGAGAGAGAGTGAGTGAGTGGAGTGGAGTGGAGTGGAGTGGAGTGGAGTGGAGTGGAGTGGAGTGGAGTGGAGTGGAGTGGAGTGGAGTGGAGTGGAGTGGAGTGGAGTGGAGTGGAGTGGAGTGGAGTGGAGTGGAGTGGAGTGGAGTGGAGTGGAGTGGAGTGGAGTGGAGTGGAGTGGAGTGGAGTGGAGTGGAGTGGAGTGGAGTGGAGTGGAGTGGAGTGGAGTGGAGTGGAGTGGAGTGGAGTGGAGTGGAGTGGAGTGGAGTGGAGTGGAGTGGAGTGGAGTGGAGTGGAGTGGAGTGGAGTGGAGTGGAGTGGAGTGGAGTGGAGTGGAGTGGAGTGGAGTGGAGTGGAGTGGAGTGGAGTGGAGTGGAGTGGAGTGGAGTGGAGTGGAGTGGAGTGGAGTGGAGTGGAGTGGAGTGGAGTGGAGTGGAGTGGTGGGGAGTGGAGTGGAGTGGAGTGGAGTGGAGTGGAGTGGAGTGGAGTGGAGTGGAGTGGAGTGGAGTGGAGTGGAGTGGAGTGGAGTGGAGTGGAGTGGAGTGGAGTGGAGTGGAGTGGAGTGGAGTGGAGTGGAGTGGAGTGGAGTGGAGTGGAGTGGAGTGGAGTGGAGTGGAGTGGAGTGGAGTGGAGTGGAGTGGAGTGGAGTGGAGTGGAGTGGTGGAGTGGAGTGGAGTGGAGTGGAGTGGAGTGGAGTGGAGTGGAGTGGAGCGGAGCGGAGTGGAGTGGAGTGGAGTGGAGTGGAGTGGAGTGGAGTGGAGTGGAGTGGAGTGGAGTGAGTGAGGAGTGTGTGAGTGAGTGTGAGTGAGTGTGAGTGAGAGTGAGAGAGTGTGAGTAAGTGTGAGTGAGTGTGAGTGAGTGTGAGAGAGTGAGAGAGTGTGAGAGTGAGAGAGTGAGAGTGAGAGTGAGAGTGAGAGTGGGAGTGAGAGTGAGTGAGTGAGTGAGTGAGTGAGTGAGTGAGTGAGTGAGTGAGTGAGTGAGTGAGTGAGTGAGTGAGTGAGTGAGTGAGTGAGTGAGTGAGTGAGTGAGTGAGCGAGTGCGTGCCTGCGTGCGTGCGTGAGCGTGCGTGCGTGCGTGAGTGAGTGAGTGAGTCACTGACTGAGTGAGTGAGTGAGTGAGTGAGTGAGTGAGTGCGTGCGTGCGTGCGTGGGTGATTCGGCGTGGTTGAAGCGGCTTCCTCGCCTTGGTTGTTTGGCGCCGTTCGGCGGCAGTCTTCACTTGGATGCCCTGTTTGCGACACCAGGCGCACTGGGACGTTGGCTCGCCTTCGTGCCAAGGGTCCTTTGACTTAGACACGGACGCCGGGCAGTGCGGTAAAAGCGCTTGACTCTTGGCTGATTAAGCGTGGGTGGCAGGGGCGCGCCCCTTTCCTTTGGTGGCATGGCGTTGCGAAGGTTCGGCCTGACTTGCGTGGGCTTGGCCTGGTTGGTCGTTTCCAACACGTTGTGCGTGCCGGTTGGCGGGCTTGGTGCTTGGCTCAGCATGTTGCCAGCGACCGACGGGACGCTGATGCAGTTGAGCCGCATTGCGTTCGGGGACACAAGGCGCTGGGCCCTTTCGTGCCCCGTAGCGAGAACCATCGCTTGCGTACTACTTCTGTGCTCAGAAGTTGCGACTTTCGAGCCGGAGCTGCAGGAGTGCGCTTCGCGTGCTACTTTTGTACGTAATATTGCGATTTTGCAGCCAGATGTTCTTCGCACACTACTTATGCGCACAAAAAATGCTATTCGTGAGCCAGAGCCACGGGAATGTACTTCGCGCGCTACTGTTGCACAAAAATTACGATTTTCAATCCTGATCCAAAGTTTCCATTTTCCAGCCAGAGCTGCGGGAGCAAAGTTTCCATACTTTTCTTTAGCTTTGGTACCTGAGAAGTGTTGTTCTTGAGCCGGAGCTGGCGCGGACCGCGGACCAGGGGGGAATCGAACCCGCGGCGGCGATTCAGAAAGCAGACGCGAGCGCTTCAACACACACGATCTCCGTAGAGGGTTCGCCGAGCCAGACAAATTCGCACGGCGCGACAGCGACAGCGCTTCGACAGGCGCGATCTCCGCAGACGGTTCGCCGAGACCAAGGCAAATTCGCACGGCGCCACAGCGAGAGCTCTTCGACACGCGCGACCAAGACAAATTCGCACGGCGCCACAGCGAGAGCTCTTCGACACGCACGATCTCCGCAGAGGGTCACAGCGAGAGCGTTTCGACACGCACGATCTCCGCAGAGGGTTCGCCGAGCTCAAGACAAATTCGCACGGCGCCACAGCGAGAGCGCTTCGACGCGCACTATCTCCGCAAAGGGTTCGCCGAGACCAAGACACATTCGCACGGCGCCACAGCGAGAGCGCTTCGACACGCACGATCTCCGCAGAGGTGCGTTTCGTAAGCTCCCGTCGGGCCAACCCCCGCCAGAAAAAGAAGAAGAATTAAGAGTCGAGAAGTGAAGGTACAAAAGAAAAGTTAGCATGTGTTGTTAGGACAGTGAAGTGACACCCGAAAAGTTAGCTTGTGCTTTTAGGATAATAAGATAACACCCGAAAAGTTGACATGAGAAGTTGGCAGGCGAAGTAACTATCGAAAAGTTGGCATGAGAAGTTGGCAGGTGACATAACTCTCGAAAAGTTGGTAGGCGAAGTTGGCAGGTGAAGTTGGCATGAGAAGTTAGCAGGTGAAATAACCCTCGAAGAGTTGGCATGAGAAGTTGGCAGGTGAAGTAACTCTTCAAAGGTTGGCATGAGAAGTTGGCAGGTGAAGTAACTCTCGACAAGTTGGCGTGAGAAGTTGGCAGGTGAAGTTTGCAGCCGCTTTTAGAAGAAGAACCCTTCGCAATGCTTCCGGGAAAAAAGATAATCTCACTCAGTTGTGCGTGTGTGTGTGTGTGTGTGGGATTGGCACTTTGGTCCATGCACTGATAGTGGTTTCAGGCATGTGCCAGCTTCGGATTGAAAGCTGTTCAGCCACCGTTGACACGCCGTCCTCCAAACAGAAACAGCTACGCAAAAAATCGCGCGAAATATGCAGTAGTCTCGGATGCATGTTGGGAGGATCCACACACATCTCCCAAGGCTTCAGCAAACATGCTGGTGGAACGATGTCCCCGGTAAACGCTTTATGGTTGAGTATTCAAACAACTCTAGGGTGGAAGGCCTAGGCCTAGTGGAAACTAACAAAGTTGTTGCTTGCAACTTAGCGTGTGGAATGATTCGTTGACTTGTCATGGTCAATCAGTCAGTGAGTGAACAAGGTCCCCAAAATACGTATTGCATCTTCCTGTTTGGGTGGTACACTCGATATACGCTCTCCCACCCTCCCAAGGAGTTGTTCAAATCGCTCCTTGAGCCAAGCATCTCTTTCAGAGGGCCGATGACTTCCTCCCAGCTGACGCCGCCAGCAATGCTCATGAAGAGGCTCAGCATACTCTCGGCCAGGGACCCAAAGTAGCGAGTGCTCGCCTGACCAGCAACGAAGTAAAAGCCAAGTGGCCTGTAGGTTTTGTTGTGGGCTACAAAGCTCAGCTGGGCGGTCATCCCAAGTCAACCGACAGTCATGAGATTACAGTCTGCATATACAAATCGTGAAACGATGACATTGGAACTGGAGCCATGTGTTAGTGTCAACTTTCAATTGCGACAGTAATAACTAAACCAATCCGCCATCCATAAACCACCCCCCCCAACAACAAGGCGCTGCTTTGACCAGCGGGTAGGTTCGCTTGCTAAATGAGCCCTCACAACAAAGCTCCGGCCTCCGCTTCTCTCAATGGCATGGCAGGCGCCGCGGGATCGTTTTTGTGCTCGTACCTCGGGTTGCAAGGCCAAAACATCCAACAGGGACAGCAGCATTGTGCCGGTGCTAAGCTTGCAAAGCAAACAGAGGCAATCACCACAAATAGCTGTGCTTTTGATGTGATAGTTTGGCTAGATTTGATTCGCATGCTCATATGATGGATCATTTCCTGTACGGGTTACCGCGCGGACGGGAAGCACGTGCGTACGGACGTATGTACGCACACGCGCGCGCGGACGCACGGACGGCGTACGGACGTGGCACGGACACGAGCGAGGACGCACGGGCGGCGTACGGACGCGTGTACGGACCTGCGTGCGGACGTGCGGACGCACGTCTTGCTTGCGTGCGGAAACACGCGCGGGTGGGGAGACGGATGCGCGCATGCGCGTGACCAGAAAAATAAGGCCTTATTTCGAACAATAAGGCCCTTTTTTGAAAAATAGGGCCTATTTTTCTAAAATAAGGCCTTAATTATGCTGCTCAGCGCGCGGACGCATGTACGTACGCCTGCACGCCCGTACGCATGCCTGTACGCGCACCTGCGCGCAAGCCCGTACGCCCGTATGTACACCCGCGCGCAAACCCGTGCGCCTGCACGCACGCCCGTACGTACGCCCGCACGCACACCCGTACGCCCGTATACGCCCGTACGTGCACCCGTACACCGGCACGCGCGCCCGCATGCACACACGTACAAGTGGACACGTCCATGCCGGAGCAAATGTGGTGTCATCATGCTTTGCATGGCAATTGAACAAAGCCAAGTGATAGTGGTGACCCCATCAGCTGTCTGGAGAACTTCTTTGACGATCACAAAGCACTTTCGGAGAACGCTTTTTCCAATGGCCGAGTCACACAGCCTGGGTAAACAGGACCGCAAATACATATACCTCAGCAGCCCAGTGGCCATGGGGGGCAAAAAGAGCAGTTGTTTTTGCTTGGTAGAGGCATTCGGAAAGCCTTTAAACTGTTCACCGGAAAGGAAAGTAAAAAGACGGGTGCCTCTAGCAGCTGGGATACAATCAGCGCCAAGAGCACCAAGGCCCAAAGCAGCGCCTCAACGGAAGCGCATCGAATGCGTGGCAACTGCAAATGGCCCTTTGAGTCTGCTGCAGTCCTTCCAGTCCACCTTTGCATTTTCCAGTTGATGTTCATGGTCCCAAGGCCGACGTACATCAGAAGGGACGCTTCGATTTTGACACAGCTCCCTTCAAGTTCATTGATTCAAAGGGCCTTTGGCTGTCCACTAGCCATCCAGCTAGCCTCTCGGACGGTCATGTCCTCACAACTGCCAGGCCATAGTTTGGCACTCCCATCGAACATCTCCATTTGAATTACGTTCTTTGCGTAACCTCTGAAGGACACTGATGGACATCATTCGGCATCACCGCACAACCCTCGCTGCGGAAAAGAAGCACAAGTGGTTGACACTCACTGAAATGGCCTGTGAGGCTGCTGACGAGGCTGGTTTGAATAAAGCCACTTGACCTTGTCAATTGACTTCCAACAATCGGAGAAGGTCTGGCTGGATTGCGGCCCATGCAGTCATTGCAATTCGCTTTTGTTTGCTGTAGTGTTCACCCCGCCGCTGTTAGAATGTGCGATACAGAAGTCTGCTTGTCAACCGACTCAGGCCAAAGCTAGCTGCCACTCCAAGTCTGGTCATCCCATCAGCACCCATGCGTTCAGCATTATGTTTTCGGGCATAGATCCCTCTCGGGGAGTCCCCCGTTCCCCTCGTGCCTTTAGGGTAGAGATGATGGATGTCACCAGCATTCGCAGAGCCATCACAAACCGGAAGATGCGAATGAACTGCGCAGTCTTCAGCAGGCGGGTTAGCCGGATAATGCGAAAGGACTTCATGTTGGAGATACCTGCAGGGGCTGCTGAAACCTCTGTGCCAGACGGAGCGTCTGACTGCCAGCCATTTCGAATGTAGCACATGGCGAATTCAGAATGTCATCAAATAGCTTTGGGAGTCAGCCCAATCCGTCCGTTGCCTGCGATGGACTCCAAATCACCTCGGCTTCAGCAATATGCTAACCATTGCAGAGAACCAGAGCTTCCGGAGAGAACTAGGCAGGTGATTCTGATGATTTGCATATTGCACCTGCAGATTACCTCCATGCAGGATCTCTGCAAGCCATGGCTAGTTGGGATGCGTTCAACCATCACACGCAACAAACTAAGTGCGCTTCCCAGAGCCACACGGAAGTTCCTCAAATTCGGGTCCCTAAAATTGATGTTGTCGTTTTGTCTCCTTCAAATAAGTGAAGGTCCACCGTTTTGAGAAACTCCCACACCGCGGATGGACGGCTCAATGCTTTTGCAGTTCCTTCAGTCGCATGACGAATCTACCCATGCCTGGCCCAGGCGCCTTGTCCCTCCAAGGCGGCCTGTACGATGTCCACGATCACCTCCCACAAGGAGCTGGTCACGATGAACAAGTCCAACCAGGCCCACATCCATTCCTGCACCGCATGCCAAATGAAGCCAAAAGCAACTCATGCTAAGAGCACTCCTGCATGTATCCTGGCAACCCGCACGTCCGTCCTCCGAGACGAAGAACTTCCGTCCAAAGGCCAAGATCCGCATAAGAAGCTCCAGGAGAAACAGGCCTCGAAAGGGAGCCAACTCCAAACGCCACAGACCTAAGTTGGAATGTTCAAGCCGCCGAGTCTGCAAATCCAAAGCCAGGAAGGAAGATGCCTTCTAAGCACGGGCGTGGACGGGTCGGAGCTAAGCACCCTCTTACTGTTGCTGAGTCTCCTTACAATTTTGGGAAGAGTGCCTTGCACAAGCGCCGCCAGTCTGCTGTGCCATGAAGTTGATCCCATTCACTTGGCTGGCATAACATTCCGATCAAACCAATATGATGAGTGGCGACTGTCCATTCCGGGGAGTTTGGAAGGGCTGCGGAAGGGGGAAGAGGGGAAGAGGGGAAGAGGGGAAGAGGGGAAGAGGGGAAGAGGCAGCGGGAGAATGGTGCGACAAGAAAGCCTAGTGGCAGTCACGGCCGCAAAGCGATCGAGAATGCCAGCCGATCGAGAATGCCAGCCCTTGCCCTTCAGGAAGGGAGCCTCCTGTCCGCCTTATAGCCGAGGTGCGAGAACAAATTCAGAGAGTTGGGCAGAAGAATGTTGCCAAATACATGGCAGGCAAGCTGCCGGTATAGCATAATGGGAAGCTGGACGGTGGCGCAAAGAAAAGCTAGGTAAGTCGTCAAGGTTCAATCAGGGCACTGGTCAACTTCAACCTAGAAAACTGCAAACTCAGTGCAACTGCTTGCATGTCTGAAAACATCCAGTATTGTTCATCATCCACTTTGCAGGAGACACCTCAGCAAATTCCTCTTGAGAATTTTCGGGCATGCTCACTGTAAAGGCCAGTTTGAGGCCTCTGATGGCAGCCGCCTGGCAAGACGCAATGATTAAAGCTGTGGCTCAAAGCGAGCTCGGTCACGCCAGCTGCACGACTAGCGCTGGTTTTCCGAAAACTCGCGCTTGAAGGGGAGGCACGCGCGTGGCATTTATGCAAGCCAGGATTAAGGGCATGAATGCCAAAGATCATCATCGCCAAAAAGTGTGGCTTTCCTGGCACAAAAAAATCAAAGTCTGCGCGGGTCTGTGCTGATTCATTCAAACTCATGATGCGTGGTATAAGGTATCTCAAGGCTCCACAAACAAAGCTGACATCTTGTTGATGGTTGAGCTCAGACATGTCTCCTAACGCCCAGTGCCCGATGCCTCGCCTGTGTAAGAGTACTGAATCACTTGAATATCCGTGGATCTACTGACTCCAGTTGTCACAGTTCGTTGGACGTCAATGCCGATGAAAACGGCGTTGCTGATCACCACCAAGGCAAAAAACGCCTCGAAGACATGGTGCTTTACCTGAGCTTCGGCTTCAAGTCCCCTTTAAAACTGGTCTAGAAAGTGATCAAACCCCCTCTAAAATCCCATCAAATCCACCGATAGAAATCGGTCAACTTCCCATCCCCAACTTCCAACCAACCGGTCAAATTCCTCTCTCAAAGACGGTCCAACTCCGTCAACTCCCCAAGAAACCGGTCAAAATCCGCTTAAAACCGCTCAAATCCCCTCCAGAAGCCTATCCAATCCCCCCAAAAAAATAGAAACTATGAACTCACTGCTAAGTTCGCGGGTTTTCCCACATATGCGCCAAGTGCGCCCCCTGAGCCTTGGTGGCTCTGGAGCGATGCAAAAGGTTCACCTGGAAAAAGAGTACACAAGTCATGAGATCCCGTGAGGCCAATAGGGCTGTCCTTTTCGCAGCTCACATCATTTTGTTTTGGCCTCACGGGTCTTCCACATTCCCGTCCGGATCATATCTTTGAGCGGCTGCATGTTCCCACCGCGTTGTTGAGGTCAATGATGTCCTCAACGGTCAACTGGTTCAAACTGGACGCCACCAAACTTGCTGTTGCAGCGCAATCGGGCCTTCCCTCCTTGCCTGCTAGGCGAGAGCGCCCACTGCCGCTCTTGTTGCTTCTTTCTCTTCTTGTGTGGCTAATTGCTTCGGCTGGGACCTTCTGCCGATTTCTAGCTTGACGGGCTCCACACGCTCGGTCACGTGCTTCTTCATGTCGATGAGGAATCCACCTTGCTTTTCTGACTTCAGTCGCAGGAAACGCCGTTCTCCGCCTCGTCCAAATAGGTGAACTTGCCAAAGACGAACCTCTCGCGAAGCTTGTCAATCTCTTGGAAAAAGGCAGGGTCACCCATGAGCAACAAGTCGTCTACCTCCACCGTCGTCAAACCCACGAGCACTTGACTGCCATCTGGCTTCCTCTCAAAGCACTTGAATATGTACGGATCGAACTCGCTCTGCACCACTCAGCGCTCTCTTCAGCGTTTTCCGCCAATGGGGTCCATAGGCTCCCGCCAGCACCTCCAGCTGCTCTACCTTCAGACCTGGAAGACCACCTTTAGGTTGACGAGCATATAGCCTTCCCGAATGTCTCTTGAGCTTCTCTGACTGCCCGCCGCTGTTCGCCATCCTTTGCTTGCCACGATTCGCACGCACACTGCAATGTGGCTGGTCGTTGGTGGTTTGGCCAGGCTGATCTGCAGGTTTCCATCGACGCACCAACCTTGACGGCAATATCCTCTGACTCAGTCCAGCTTCTTGTAGTTGTTGAGTTACTTGTCTGGACTCCTCAACCGACAACACCTTCACCGCTTCGGTGGCCTGCACCTTGCTCCACTCTTCTCCATCTGTTACTTTCTATTGTTCCCAGTCCTCCGCCGGAATATCTTCCTCCTTCACCTCATGCGAGCCTTTCTTGATCAGGTAGTGGAACTTGGTTCTCCAGCTTGGAGACACCGAGGTGGCACGGCTGGTCTTGCGGTCTTTGGCTTCACCTGCAATTCACACACACTGCACTTGAAGTCCTTCTGCACGTACTTCCAGCCGGAGCTCGTGCCCTCGCCAACCTCAGCATCCTGGCAAAATCTGGGATTGAAGGATGTCCCAGTTTGGAGTGAAGCGACTTCCATCTTCTTTTCTTCTGGAGTCAATACCTCCGCGGGCTCTCTGCCCTCAGCCTCTTCTTCCTTCTGTGGGGGGGCTGCCTCCTGCTGCTGCTTCTCCTTATTTGCTGCGGCTTGGACCTGGGGGGTTGATCTTCTTCTCCATGGAATACGGTCACCATCACCGGGGCAGGTCCTTGTGGGATCTTGGCCTGCGCCTCCCACAAGCACCAAGTGGCATAGCTCTCCACCTCTTCCCAGCCTTGAATCGATGTCCTTGATGCGTGACTCGAACTACGTCGCCGCCCTTTCCTGGCTGCCACGGGGCTCCTCTGGAGATCCTCTCCACCTCTTGTTGATTGTAAGCCGGGCACTCTCGCTTCACCTTCTCTTCTCTCAAGCATAGCTTCTGAGGATACTCTTGCGCCTTCTTGGCCAGTACTTGTAGAAGATGAACATGTTCATGCTTTCCCGGACAACGTAGTGAAAGGTGCTTTGCCAGCTCTTCTCCAGTGACCATGAAGTTCGTAGGCTTTCGGTTGGGTCCATATTGACACTGATCGGCTCTCACTCTCTGAACTCCAGGAAGATTGAGCACCCTCAGTACACGCGCTGGGTGCTCGAAGATCGCCCGCTTCTTCCGACGTAGATCTTCATGCTGAACTCCAAGTGCTCCACCGCCTCCGCCAGAATGATGATTGGCTTGCCTCCTTGCATCCGAGGGTAGTTCCACCGTTGGAGCGATGAAAAAGGACCACACGGAGGGCATACCACCACCAAATCCGGATCCACTTCTTCAACTGATCCCAGCATCTCCTCTTCCCTTCTGAAGTCCGTAGATCGCAGCCATTCACCAAATCGAATGATGATCCAGCTTTCATTCCCATGTTTTGCGCTTGTCGCGCAACTCTTGGCTGTGAGAACACCTCCGACACCACCAACTCCTTCAACGCCTTCTGGACTTTCTTCCACTGCTTCTTTCCCAGTGACCTCATTCTCTCCTCTTGATCCAGATCGTCCAGGTTCTCCGCCGCGAAGATGCCGTAGACCTCCTTCTCCACATCCTCTGGTAGTAGACCTGTTTCTCGCCTCGCTTGTCCGTTCTCCACCACCCAGTACGCTCCGAGCACTCGTTGCGCATGACGTGGTTGATCCTCATCCTCAAGCTGCATCTTGATCCAGTTGATCACTTGGGCATAGTACGCCTGCTTGTCGCTGACCACGTTCCCGTCTTTGTACACCTGTGCCATAGACGAAGATGAGCCATGCGAGCACCCACCTAGTTGCCCTGCTGCCGCCCACTTCCGATTCTGCTGGCGAGCGCTAGCAGATCGCATACTCCCTGCAGAATTACTCGCCAGTTTCGAATTGCTCGCCTCCCATTGCGCTCCCGATGCTCTTTGGGCTCCACCGATTCCTCGAGGTTCGTGCTGATGATGCGGTTGAAGAGCATCATGGCGGGATTCACTCCGGCAGGACTTACCATACACCTTCAGATGATTAGCAGTCCACCCATGCCAGCTGAACCCAACCTTTTTGAACTCCCTGTACATCTCCTCGGTTCGTCCGTGTTGAAGGGCTTCCCGCGGAAGTTTCCAAGTTCCCTGATGAAAGTCACACACATCTACTGCGATATGACCCGTGGGTAGCCAATGAAGGGGTGCCTCAGTCTCCACCTTGGGAAACTCAATATTCATGCCATGCAGATCAGTGATGCTCTCCAGGGCGGTCAGAAGGGAGATTGGGATGATGCCAGCGATATCAAGAGGAACCTCTGCCATGCCACAAACTGATGCCTGACCTCCTATGCTTCGAGCTTTCCCTGTTTTCTGGAGGGGGTTCACTTTCAGTCCATGACGCTTCAGCTTCTTTGCAGGTTTTCCAGCACACCCAATCAAGCCGCCCTGTGCGGCCTCCTTGGCGGCTCTGCGTGGTGATGCCGGTGAACTCCTCAATCTCTGGCCGCTTGCTTCTCTGATTGATGAGGCTGCCCAGGGCAACCTCCCTGCCAAAAAGGACCTCCCCCTGCTCCTGCTCCGTGGACCTGGAAGAAACCGCTGGGTGCTGCGGAAGATGGCGAGCCTGAAGAAGGAGCCAGCCTCGCTTTGTTCTTGGCGACCTCATCCATTTCACCTCGGCCTTCGCGGGCCCAGTGCCCGACCTTTCCGCATTTCGCGCATCGAGTCTGAAGCTTCAGCATCTCCACATGAACACGCCGACCTCGCCCGTCACCGCGACCCTTGCTCTTGCCCTTGGCCTTGTCCTTGGTAGGGTAGTAGGTGCGGGAGTTCTTCTCATCCCGGATGGCTTTGTGCACTTCCTGATACGTAGCCAGTGCTTCCATGAGCTCCTCCTCTTCGTAGATCTCATTCAGATCCCCTTCTCCGAGAAACACATAACCTTCATCTTCGGCAGGATCCCACTCTTCACTCCACTCGTGGCCACCGTACAGCACGTCCTTCTCTGCGTCCTCATCGTCGACCAAGTAGCTCCGCCCCCCCTTCTCCTCTTGCACCTTTTCCAGCTTGCGTAGAGCTCCGACTGCTGATCCGCGATCGTACTGGCCGCTTATCCACGTGGACACTTCGTCTTCCTGCACCTGACTGAGGTTGGCCTGGCGGTAGATCACATAGCCGGTCACCTTGGAGTCCAGCTCGATGTCCTTCAGCTCCCTGCAGGCCGAGCCCGCGCGGATGACAAATTCCCCGAACGTCTCCTTGGTGCGCCGGGGGGCCTTGGGCACAGCCGTTTCCAGGTATGGCTCAAAGTGCTCTTTCAGCTTGGCTGTGATCTTATCCAGCCCGTCTCCTTGACGATCTCTTCCACCAGGACCTCATCGACTGCCGACTTGGCCGCTCCACTCAGCTGCCTATACACCTTGGTTCCATGCTTGGCTTTCGGCACATCTGTGTCGTGCTTCCACAGCTCGCAACCAACCTTTGAACTTCTCTGCACTGCCGTCAAACTGCGGGGCCGGATCCCTGTCCTTGAACGAAGCTTGTCCTTCGGCCCCTTCGGTCATGGCGCTCTGACCAGCTCCGCTACCACCATGAACTCACTGCTAAGTTTGCGGGTTTTCCCACATATGCGCCAAGCGCGCCCCCTGAACCTTGGTGGCTCTGGAGCGATGCAAAAGGTTCACCTGGAAAAAGAGAAAACAAGTCATGAGATCCCGTGACCCCAATACACCTGTCCTTTTCACAGAAACCGATGAATTTCCCCTTTAGAAACCTGTCAAACCCCTCAAAAACAGGTCCAACTCCCAAATCTTCCAAACCCGGCAAAATTCCCCCCCCCCCCGAAACCAGTGAAGCTCACCTTCGCTTCCTTGAAGCCATGTGGAAACAAGCAAACATGCACCCACTCTCAATCCAGCTCACGCAAACACAAGGCTTCAAGGCAAACTCAAACACGGTTTATACCTCAAAGCCAGCCAAAAGCGGATTGGTTGAGGCAGGCAACGCAACCGTTTACAATAATGTTATCAGATGGCAAGTCGCAGCCAGACAAATCATAAGTCGGATTCGGAAACTGGCGGGTTGCAGCCGGACAAATGGTAAGTCGGATTCGGAAACTGGCAAGTCGCAGCCGGACAAGTGGTGAGCCGGATTCGGAAACTGGCAAGTCGCAAACGGACAAATGGTAAGTCGGATTCGGAACTGGCAAGTCGCAGCCGGACAAACGGGAAGTCGGATTCCCACACCGGCAAGTCGCTGCCGGACAAATGGTAAGTCGGATTCGGAAACTGGCAAGTCGCAGCCGGACAGCGTGAAATAGTTTTTGGGTCAGACAGTTTCTATATCGCAAATAGTTTCGATCGGTTGATTTCCCGGCCCTCGACAGGGAAGTTGTCTGCATACACTCAATCCCTGGCAGTACAAAGCACCGTGTCAGGCAAGGAGAAGATCTTATCAAATGCTGTCACGAAAGGATGAGAACAAGTAATAAGAAGTACTGGAGTCTTTCCCAGTCTTCAACTGAAAACCACACTGCGTAATCCGGTCGCGGCATCATTGCATGCTGCAACACTCCTACTTGCCTCCGACCCCCCTTGTGACCCCAATCTTCGCCCGAGGCACCACCATCTGCAGGCAATTCTCGTCAATGCGGCGGGCCTTTTGTGTCGGCGTGGCGAAGCGCTTCCGAGAGTGCTGAGAGTGCGCTTGCAGCGCATCCTGGGCTGAACGGTTGAACCACTCAACTGATGCATGTTGGCTCTGTCATTGGCCGGCCAGCCGGCCATTGGTGCATGACACATTCGTGTTGCGGTCATGTGTTGCATAATCAACCCACCATGCTTGTCCCCCCGCCCTAATACAAATGGATTCTAGATCCAACTTCACCAGGGCCAAATCCTCGAGTATCTCATTTACACGGATGACATTTCCGCCAGAGCCGGGCAGTAGGAATTCTGCTTTGCTCAAGTGAGGGATCCCTCACTTGAGTGGTCTTGTTTGGCTGATGTGTCCCCCATTCCGTTGCATCTCAGCTGGAGCAGTAGAAAAAGACTCTCTGATGTCAAAACTGCTCGCTGGCATCCCAAAGCTGAACCTTTCTCCGATGCAAGTTTTCGGCTTCCCCCATCTTTTACAACTTCCACAGCTTCAGGAAACCCATCTGGCATCTGTCCAGGCCACATCCTTGTGCTGCAGATCCTGCCATCCCCAATCCGAAAGTTTGCGAATGGCAGCATGGCCATCAATTCAGAAGTGGCATGCACATCCCATGAGAAGGACAGCGGCGCATCTCACACGAGGGGGTGCGTCGATTTGAAGTTGGGCGGCCAAAGTAGACAGATTTGAAGCTACACACATCTTCTCTGCTACCCCTGTGCCGCCAGTATCTTCAAGCAGATTCGCAAGAGATCGTATGTTGCAAGATTGGCAAGAGATCGTAATGTTTTGCGACTTCGGATGGAATCTGAGGCCCCGCAGCTCCTCCATAGTGTAGCTCGTGAGCAGCGAGGCGTGACTCGTCTGCGTTTGTGGTACTTTCTTTGGAGGACTTCCTTCCCTCATCGCATCCTGTCCAGTTGCAGGTGGGTATGTTTCGACTTGCACCCCCCCCTTTAGTCCTTCAAGGGAAGAAACAAATACTCACAGTTTGGAACGCGCATGCCAACAAGTGGAGAATCGCGCATGCAGTCGCGCGTGCCACATCAAAAATGGCTCGGGAGAATAAGAACGAGTCTGTTTCTGGGGCATCGCAAAAATGGCGTTCATGCCTCACTCACTCTGGCCAGCAAGCGCGTAATCTGTCAGCAGCCATGAGATCGGGAACATTGGCTTGATAAAAAGCAAGTCGCCAAAAGGCTCAACCCTTTCGCCTGTTCTTCAGAATCGCTTTCTTGGCGAGATTTCATCGGCAGTCCAGTGCCAGCGCACACCTTCAATCTCACCAGCGCTGTGATGCGCAGGGTGATGCTGCGACGTCCAATCTTGGAACAACTTCACTTAGCACTGTGCGGTTCTGCGATTGAGCGGGAGTGGTTGTTATGTGCGGGCAAAGTGCGAGCCTGCGAGTGTGCGCTCCCGAGGTGGGGGTGAGGCCTCCAAACAAAGCGCAAGCAGCAAAGAATCTGATTGGGACCATGTTTGCTACAACACGCAGCAATCTTGGGCATCAAAAAGAGCTCGTCGGGTTTGGCTACGGTTGGTGTGTGTAGCGTTTGTTTGGTGGGTTTACGGTGGGTTGGTTTGGTGTGGGCGGGAGGGTTTAGGATCGGTTCAAGGTAGGGTGGGTCCCACCTTAACATCCTAAACCCACACACCAACCAACTGTAAACCCACCCCAAACAAACTTGAACACGCCAACCCTAGCCGTGTGTTTTGCTTTATGCCTGGCACATTGTTTGATAACGCGGTTTGCAGGCTTTTACTGCGTGTTGCGGCAACATCATTCCCAATCAGTTCTTGTTTGATGCCGAGACAATATCCTGATGAATAGTGTTTTATTAGTTTTTCAGATATGCGTTTTTCGCCGCAAACCCCGCGGTGCAGCAAGCAAAAACAATCGTATCATCCAGGCAAGAAGTGTTGCTCAGCGGAAAAATGTGTGTGTGTATATATATATATATATATATATAAAAGTGGGGTTGGGAGCACCAATGCAGCAATCACAAAGAACCTCTCCTTCCTTCCTTTCCTTCCTTTGCTTCCTTTTCTTCCTTTCCTTCCTTTCCTTCCCTTCCCTCCTTTCCTGCCTTTACTTCCCTTCTTTCCTTTACTTCCTTTCCTTCCTTTCCTCCCTCTCGTCCTTTCCATCCTTTCCATCCTTTCCTTGCTTTTCGTCCTTTCCTTCCTTTACTTCCCTTCCTTCCCTTCCTCCCTTTTCGCGCTTTCCGTCCGCTCCTTCCTTTGCTTCGTTTGCTTCCTTTTCGTTCTTTCCGTCCTCCCCTTCCTTGCCTCCCTTTACTTCCTTTCCTGCCTTTACTTCCTTTCCTACCTTTCCTTCCTTTCCTTCCTTTCCTTCCCTTCCTTCCCTTCCTTCCCTTCCTCCCTTTTTGTCTTTTCCGTCCGTTCCTTCCTTCTCCTTTCCTTGCTTTTCGTCCTTTCCGTCGTCCCCTTCCTTTCCTTCCTTCACTCTCTTTCCTTCCTTCACTTTCTTTCCACCCTTTCCTTCCTTCCTCCTTTCCTTCCCTCCCCCCCCTTCCTTCCCTTCCTTCCTGTCCTTCCTTTCTTCCGTCTACTTGTTTGCTGCCTAAGAACTGATCTATTGATACTGCGCGCGCTGTTGCTTGATACATGTCGCAGCACGTGCACGGTGCGTGGAGCGCATGGCGTTTTTGCGTGGTGGGCGAAACCCCTGAAAGAGGCTACGCGTAGCTAAACTACTGCAACGCCCACCTACGATTAGTAATTGGTCTCCTTCAAGAAGTCCAGAACGCACGAGGTTTCCAGACAATGTGCAAAGGAAACAGGGAACTGGTTCGGGAACAGTTCTTCGAAAACTCGAACTAGTTCGGGAGCTGGCTTGGGAACTAGTTCGGGAACTAGTTCGGGAGCTGGTTCGGGAACTGGTTAAGGAACTGGTTCGGGAACTGGCTCGGGAGCTAGTTCGGGAACTGGTTCGGCAACTGGTTCGAGAACTTGTTCAGGAGCTGTTCGGGAACTGGCTCGGAAACCAGTTCGGGAACTTACGTAGTTCGGGAACTGGTTCGGGAACTGGTTCGGGAACTAGTTCGGGAACTAGTTTGGGAACTGGTTCGGGAACTAGTTCGGGAAGGTCAAGGAACTGGCTTGGGAACTCAGTTTGGAACCTGAACTGGAACTGTTCAGTTCTGGTTTGAGTTCGGGTTCGAGTCCGGGCGGGGTTCGGAATGGAGCCTTCGCGATCGCCCGAATCTCGGGCTCCGCTACCAACTTCAAGAAGTCCAGAACGCACGACGTTTCCAGACCATGTATCAGCACCGACAAGCGCAAAAGAAAGAGCGCAGCACTATTTTTCTCGAGGCGAATCAAGTTTTTCGAGGGCCCCGGACTGATTAATGAATGGCTCCTAAATAAAGTTTTTTGGCCAGCCCCCCGCCCCAGCCTCTTCAAAAAGCATCCCCTCATCAAAATCCCAAACTCAACCCGTTCTTGCCAATGCAAGTTCCCTCTTTGGGTGGTGCTCAACATGCAAAACTACAGGAGTTCCCAGACCTCATGTTCTTGTCTGGTCTCTTTGTTTAAAGAAGCGCAAAACCAATCCCACAAAAGGGGGTACCACATGAGAGCCCTGAATCTCATGCAAAAACTTTTTTTGGCCAGCCCCCCTCCAAAAGCACCAGCTCCCCGTCCCAGCCTCTTCAAAAAGAATCCCCTCATCAACAAGTTCTTTCTTTGGGTTTTTGTTTAATCTCTTTGTTTTAAAAAACAAAATCAATCCCACAAAGGGGCTTCTACACGGCAGCCCTGAATCTCATGTAAAAACTTTTTTTGAGAGGGGTCCCCAAAATGAAGTTCTTCGCCCCCTCCCCCTCCAAAAGCACCAGCTCCCCATCCCAGCCTCTTCAAGAAGAATCCTCATCAACATCCCAAACCCAACCCGTTCTTGCCAACGCAAGTTCTTTCTTTGGGCGATGCTCAAAATCCAAAACTACACGAGCTCCCAGACCTCATGTTTTTGTTTAATCTCTTTGTTAAAAAATCAGGAAAAATAAGCTCAGGCGATATCCCAACAGCACCACGCCCTCCCAGAATCCTCACGCACTCGGGGCCCGATCGGCGCCCGATCGGGGCCCGATCGGGGCCCGACGGTGCAATCGGGGCCTGATGGTCCTGTGGTGCAATCCCAGCCATATTATAGCAAAACTATAGGCGACGCCAGCTTGTCGGGCCTGCGACGGCGCAATCGGGGCCGATCAGGCCCCGACGGTGCAATCGGGCCCCGACGGTGCAATCGGGCCCCGACGTGAACCTCGCAAACCATCCTCGTAGAACCCTCATAGAACTCAGCGTGTCACTTTGTTGGAACCTTTCCTCAGGAACCTGGTGGAAACCTCGTGGAGCGTTCTTGGAACCCAAAGCCCACCAAGTAATGCTCAGCAATGCCAAGCATTTACTCTGCTGCACCGTGAGTCCCGCGGCAACGTGCCAACAAAGCCAACATCTCGGGTCGCGTTGCCTGAGCAAGTGAGCAAGTGACAAAACAGTGAACGTTCCGCCCAGGAGCCAAGCGATCTTGAGCCCCAAAAAATCCGATGGCTTTTCAGACGGCGGGCGCACGACACACTGCTTCCCTCCAGGGCAAACCATGGAACCTTGCAGAACATTTCTGGAACCCTTGTGGACCCTTGTGGAACCTTGTTAAGCCTTGTGGAACTTGTGGAATCCTTGCATGAACCATCCTACAGCCCTCGCAGATCGTGGAACCCTGCCTTACCTCAAAAGACGGACCACTCTTGTGGAACCTTCCTCAAACCACCCCGCAGCCCTCGAAGAAATTGGTGGAACCCTGGTCAAACTCGTGGAACCCTCGTCTCACCCCGCACCACCCCACAACCCTCGAAGAAATTGGTGGAACCCTGGAACCCTGCTAAGTGGAACCTTCCTCAAACCACCCCAGACCACCCCGCAGCCCTCAAAGAAATTGGTGGAACCCTGGTGTTTTTCGTGGAACCCTCGTGGAACCCTCGTGGAACCTTACCTCAGACCACCCCAGACCACCCCGCAGCCCTTGAAGAAATTGGTGGAACCCTGGTGGAAGCCTGATGGAACCCTGCTGGAACCCTGGTGGAACCCTGGTGGAACCCTGGTGGAACCTTGGTGGAACTCGTGGAACCCTCGTGGAACCCTCGTGGAACCTTACCTCAAACCACCCCGGACAACCCCGCAGCCCTTGCGCACGACACACTGCTTCCCTCCAGCGCAATCCACGGAACCTTGAAAGCTAGTGGAACCCTGGTGGAAGCCTGGTGGAACCCTGGTGGAACGTGGAACCTTCGTGGAACCTTACCTCAAGGCCGCCCCGGACCACCCCGGAGCCTATCTGGGCTGAGACCCCAAAGCTTCCAGCTGTTGGGGAAAAAACACGGGTACCACATGAGAGCCCTGAATCTCATGCAAAAACTTTATTTGAGAGCGGCCCCCCAAATAAAGTGTTTTGGCCAGCCCCCCATCCCAGCCTCTTCAAAAATAATCCCTTCATCAACATCCCAAAGCCAACCCGTTCTTGCCAAAGCAAGTTCTTTCTTTAGGTGATGCTCAAAATCCAAAACTACAGGAGCTCTCAGACCTCATGTTTTTGTTTGATCTCTTTGTTTAAAGAAGCGCAAAATCAATCCCACAAAGGGGGTAGGTACCACATGAGAGCCCTGAATCTCATGCAAAAACTTTACTTGAGAGCGGCCCCCAAATAAAGTTTTTTGGCCAGCCTCCCTCCAAAAGCACCAGCTCCCCATCCCAGCCTCTTCAAAGTAGCCAAAGCAGCCAAAGCAGCCAAAGCAGCCAAAGCAGCCAAGCCAATTATTGAACTTGCAATACTGAAACCAACTGCAAACTCCGAATTTGCAGTTGCAATACTAACGGCAATTGAAAAGACTCCAAAAAAATGCAATTCTAAACTAGTATTCCCAATACTTAGTTTAGTATTGGTATACTTTTCCAACTTTGTTTGAGGGACCTCAGTTGTTTGGGGGGAGAGGGAGGGGTTTATTAATCAGAGGTGGACATTATGATTCCCGTCACGGACAGTGGATGACAGTGAATGTCCTTCATGACTTGCTGTATTTCAGCTGTGAAGAAGCGTGGGCAAACGCAACATGCTTGTGCACACTTTCATTCCCTGCCAGCTCCTCCTCAGGCATCATTGCAAACGCCGGTGAGATCATACCATTGAGCACCTCTCGCAGTACAGAATGCAAACTGCAAAAAGCTTGAACATGCCGGGTTGTGTAACATTGCAACAACGTATCATGATTCGGTGAAGGATGAAAAGGTTGAGGGAAGACTTTGATGACGCAGCTGATGCTGACCGGCCTGTGAGCAATTTAATTCCTTCAACACACTATCACAGCACATATCTGGCAACTGCTGAGGAGACAAAGACCTCTGATCCGCTCTGTTGCATTTGCCCCTCTGAGAGGGATTAGTAAGGGTGGCAAAAAATGGCTCTGACGGGAAACCCCAGCGTGCCTTGTGAAGAAGGTCATCTTGCAAATCCAATCGCCGCATCACAGCTTCATGATGTTGCCTGACTCAGGATGGAACACGACTTACAGGCCTCATAGCACAAGTCCACGCGCATGCTGTTTCGCTCCTACTTTCATGAAAGTACAACTTGTTGGGTGTCAATAGTTGAAAATTGGACAAGCCCATCACACAATGGGCCGGCACTGTTCACACTCATCCCCAGACCAAATCTCCAGATTTTGCTTGAGCCGACCCACACAGCTCCCCGGACAGACTCCCTGGCACTGGCACTGCCCACTGCTTGAAGCTTCCAAGGCCATCCAGCCCCAAACCCGACAACACTGCCCGACGCCGCCTCAGCAGCGCAGGGATGCCTGATGCCTGCACGCAGCTGCTCGCATGCCAACTGCCAAGCTTGCCTCGAGACTTGGTGGAAATGCCTGGCAAAAACTGGGATCGCCTCCTGCCAAGCAGTGGAGATTGGCTATGTTCAAGCAACTTTGTTAGACTACAATTCGTGACAGAAACTTCGGGAAAGCTGGAAAGTCCAGACCTCTCCTAATGGTGCTTGGTTTCAGGAAAATCGCAACCCTAGCTAGTCTAGACTGCATGGAAAATTGGATGGACCACCAATGGCCTTGTAGACACCCTTTACATGTATTGGCCCACACCAATGACCCCAAACTTCTGAAGCTTTGACTATCATGTCCAGGTCAGGTCTGGCCATGAATCGAGCCGGCTTCCCTCGAGCCGAAACCGGAAGCCTCCTCTGGCAGGTGCCCAAAGCTCTGTGCGCTCAGTAGCTCCAAGGGCCTCGGCCTCGCCTTAGGATCCTGGCCAGAATGCCCCTCTCCTGTTCCGCCCCGAACATCTAGACTCCAGACAAACTGGCCCGGCTTTTGCTTGTGAGACTTTGATTCAGGTCTGCCTGAGATCCATTTAGAGTGCTGGATTTTCACCTGGTACACTGCCACCAATTCAGTGCAGGCCTTCATCCGACATGGTTTGACGCAAAGGGGGCTACTATTATGATGTACGGCGTCATTGAAAGCACAATGCTTCAGGGTCCTTGAACCCCTCTTCTCAAAACATCACCTGAACGCAACACTGCACCAACTTCCCACAATTCAACCCCGCACCTGTGCCTCGCACCGACTAACAACACTGGGCCTACATCTGGACTCGTGTCTCAGAACTAGGTCAACACGCCCGGCTGAACAGGCTCCAAACTCTCGTCCATGTCTGCGTCTAGATCCAAGAAATGGATTCACACTCCCAACATTCATCGTACGCTTCCGTGCATCTGAGGTTTGCTTAAACAGCCCATCCAGAAAGTGCCAAACTCTTCTACTTGCCCGTTTTCTGTCTAGTTCTACTCGCCTTCCGGCACATGATGGCAAATATAGTGAATGCATCCATCCTGGCAATTGATTCAATTGATGCTTGGCTATCAGACCAACCGCCGCCTGCAAAATCCTTTCGTCCCACTCGCCCTTCGAAAGGCTCAAGCGGTTGGCCATGGCGCACAAGCGGAAGCACCCCCGAAAGATCGTCACTTTGCATCGTTCATTGCGAATAACTGCGGGTGATCACAAAACGCTCCCTCTCCTGAAATTTCTGGTTCAGTGCGCAACCTGAAAGAGTCCAGAAGGTGCCTTGGGTGGGTGTCTTGCACGTGCCCTCTGTTCCTGACCGCGCTTCCTTGATGCCTGTCTTCTGCGCCCTTTGCAAACCTTTCAGCTCTCATGGCAAGCTGCCTCTGATGATGTCTCAAGCTGGAGCGTGGCTCATGAGTTTGCGAGGTGCTCTTCTTCATTCCGGCCCGCTGTGCCAAACCATCTTAGCCGCTCACCCAGAAGCAACTAAACCCAAAAAGCAAAAGCAGTGGAAATAATACCCAAATCTGGGAACCTGTTGCGGTTCAGCGTATAAAAAGGAAGCAGACAAATGCTAAACGACACATGCTACTTTTTACACTCATACGTTGCGATTTGTGAGCTGGAGCACACGTCGAGTTCTACTTCTGTGAAAAAGCTGGCCCTGATGTCCAACTTCGATATTCCAGCTGGAGCTGTGAAGGCATACTTCGCGTACTGTTTTCGTACTCCAAGGTTTCACTTTCCAAGCTCTGGCTGCGGGAGCGCACTTCGCGTGCTACTTTCGTACTCAAAAGTTGCGATTTGCAAGCCGCAGCTGGAAGAGTGCGTTTCGCGTACTACTTTCATACTTACATGTTGCGATGTTCGAGCATTCCCTGGGCTTCACTCGGCGTTGCTCGACCTCAAAAACACAGTTAACGCGAAACACGCAACAGAAACGTATGAGCTGAGCATGTTCATTCTACTTGTGTTGCCCAGCTTCCCCCAAGCTGCGGGAGTGCACTTTGCGCAGCAAAGTCGTATTTCTTTTAAGGTTGCACGTGCTACTTTGCAGTTAAAAGTTCGCCATTCAGGCTGCAGCGGCATAAGCATACTTTGCACACTGTCTTAGTACTCGAAAAAAATATACTTTCCACGTTCCGGCGGCGGCAGTGCGCTCCGCGAGCTTCTTTTGTGGCTGAAACTTATCGGTTTTCGAGCAGCTCCGCTCAACAGAACTTCGCGCCCTGCGTCCATGCTGAAAATCGCGATAGTCAAGACGCAGCTGGGAAAGCGTGCTTGGCATACTACTTTCGCGCTTACATGCTTGCGATTCTTCCGCCGGAGCCTTTTGCACATCGCATGGCGCCACAGCGAGAGCGCTTCGACACGCACAATCTCCGTAAAGGGTTCAGCGAGGTCAAGACAGGTTCGCAAGGCGCCAGTGCCATAGTGCCCTCCGCAAAGGGTCTAGCGAGAGCGCTTCCACACGCACGATCGCCACGGAGGTTTCGCTGCGGTCAAGACATTTTCGCGGGAGTGCTTCGACACGCACGATTTCCACACAGGGTTCGCCGAGGTCAAGACACATCCGCATGGCGGCACGGCGAGAGCACTTCGAGACGCACCATCTCCGCAAAGGGACGCGTTTCAAGAGCTCCGAACGAGCCTACCCAGAAACAGGCGGAAAAGAAAAGCTTGCATGTGTCTTTAGGAAATTGAGGTGTAACACCCGAAAAGTTACTTGCCAATTGTTTGCTTGTGCGTTTAGGATACTGAGGTTAGCTTGTGTTTTTTAGGATAGGAGTAAAGTTGCCAGGAGAAGTTGGCAGGTGAAGTTAGCAGCCGTTTTTCAGAACAACAACCTTTCGCATCCTTCCGGAAAAACATGCGTGGAGAACTTCCTAACATTTGACACATGGCGCGCGGCGTAGTAGTTGCTTCCCTGCTCGCAGCGAGTCTGGTAGAGCAACTCCCTTTAGGAGCGACTGACAACGCTCAGGTTCTTTCAAACAAAACCCAGCTCTGCCTGGGATCTTGCGCCAGCATCATTGACCCTCATCTTGCGCCTTCGAACATGGAGCTATTGTTCCTTTACTGCACAATGGTGACCTGTCCATCGCAGCTTCCAAGCGCAAAGCATTCTGACTGGCATCCCAAATAGCGTAGCATGTGGGATACTGCAGAACTGCCCACGAACAGAGCGTTGTCGCGCAGCGGACCCATCCGGGCAGCCGGCTGCTGAGGCAAGCATTGTGCGAACAAGTGCGTCCTTCCTCAGAATCCCGGCGGCTTGGCTTGAAATCATATTCACACACGTCCAAGTTTCTGGAAGTGTCAAGCAAAAATGCGCGCAATCAATGCAGCGCTGCTGCCAAAACTACTGATCCACTGGAAAAGGAGCAGGGAATGTCGAAAACTATAAACGCTTCGCCGCCAATACCTCTTGGGAGCTTCAGCGGTCTCTGGTGTTGGGGGAAGTGTCCCAGCCTCATCGCGCGTGACAGCAAAGGCTCAGCTTTGCTCAAACGTCCTTGAAAAGGCGCGAAGACTTGAGCGAGGACTTGCTGTTGCGACGCGCTGCAACCATACTGACCTCGTCCTGAAGCAGCGCAAGCACCCCAAGTTGAAGTCTACCCAACAGTGGCTCAGTCGATTGTCAAACACAAAACACAAGGCGGCCGCAGGGGGTCGTGTTTCCAGGCAAGCTGCACACGTGCCCTCAACATGAACGCATGCCTGCCTTGACAACATTGAGCTCGGACTGCATGAAGGTCTCGAAGTGTCGCAAATGATCAATAAGCCACCTGTGGCGGGCTCAATGCCTCTTGCGCATCGCTCAAGAAAGCTTATGACTGGGCGCCCGCGCGCAGCGGGGCAAACAGCGCAGTCTAGAGCAGTTGCAACCCATCGTGGGCTCGGAGGTACGGGTGGGGCAGGTCGCCGAACAACAAAACCAGGATCGGTCCCGGCAGAAGTTCCCCCCAGCAGGATGGTGCAGTATGAAATGGGTGAGCGAGCGAACGAACGAACGAACGAACGAACGAACGAATGAATGAATGAATGAATGAATGAATGAATGAATGAATGAATGAAGGAAGGAAGAATGGAACGAACGAACGAACGAATGAACGAATGAATGAATGAATGAATGAATGAACGAGCAAACATGTGAGTTACGACGACAACCGGCTAGCCCTGCGTGTGACTACAAGTCACGGTCCACTAAGTGGACAGCGCTCTTTGCAAACACAGGGCAACAAGAACTAAGCGGACAAGGCATGCCTTGCAACCAGAAGCCAAGCTGATTCAAGCTACCGCAAACGGGTCCTCCAATCACAGCAAGAAATCAGCCAATTGTGACTCCTACTCCAAAAAGTAGAAACAGGAACGTGCATTGAAGGCAAATGCGCGGCCCCTCAAGCCGCAGTCCAGCCATGCACATGCAAAACAAGGCATCCACGCATCTGCTGCGTTTGCAGCTGCTGCGTCTGTTGCAGAACGGCCGGATGGGCAAAGAATCTAACCTAGCGAACCCTCTCAGCCACACAGCGGTATGCCCCCATGTCTGTGGACCCGCCAATCTGATCCTACACATCCATCAGCATCTCGAAACACGCACCTGCACCAATGGCCACGGTCCAAACCAGCAGTAGTTGCCTGTTTAACGGCGGACTTCTGTTACAAGCCCTGCCTCTGGTCATGGCGCATTTGAGCAAGGTCCATCGCACTGGCAGCTCCTCTTAGCCGCAAGCAGCCCATGAAGAACTCTTCAACCTGGCCATGGCATTTGGCATCCCTAGCTCAAAACAGGTCCAAAGTCTGGACGGAGCGCGGGTCATGATTTGCGTCCAAAGACGAATCAAAGGACTGAAACAGCGCGTCTGGCATGTCGAAGAACAAAAAGTTGGGATCCGGGACGCTGAGTTTTCACTTTTCCATTGGAGTATAGGGGTCCGCCAAAACATCATCCATTCGGGAACCCGTCAGCAGGTTTTGTCCCAGTGTCTGGTGCGACTCCTCTGCTAGAGGTGTTGTGGTTCGGTTTGTTTTCTTTCCTGTGGGGGAAACTGTTTCTCCACGTTTCGCCGCCTCGACCATGCCGCCACCGTCCGTGTCCAGGAGCTTGAAGAATGACCAAGCATCCCAAATATTCAAGCCCATTGTTTCGAAGTACGTGCGAACTTCTTGTGTGCTGATTTTCTCCTCAAACATGGCGAAGGTGATGGTACCTACATGGGCAAGCACTTGCTGCGGCCTTGCAAGGCCACGTTCTGTCGCGTCCAGCCCTGCAACCCCATGTTCCCTCCCAGCATCACACTGGCACACATATCTTGCAAGGGGGAACATCTCAACGGATCACATCGCACATCATGCTCATGAATTGTGCCGGTCTGCTGTCGGGACGGTTGGAAATCAAATGACATGTCTCTACGGCCTGAATCTTCCGCGCCAAGCTCGGAGAAGAGGGCCTTAAACTTTTTCAAGTGCGACTCCTGCAGGGAAATGAACTTTCTCCAACAATACAGCTCGCAAAGCGGATGGGGAGGGCTGGTACAAGCATTTTGTCCGGACATGTAGTGGTCGCTGTGACTATTCGAATTCCATCTTCCAACAACGTTCCAACAACGCAGCAAGCCAGACTGCACTCTTCAAAAGTTTTACGAAGACAGCTACAGGAAAGTATCAGACCAGCATGCTGCCAGTTGAACTTCAGCGCTACACCAACACCAGAAGAAACAGACCACGGCTCGCGCCGCACAGGGCAGCAACATTCAGACTGTGTCACTTCGGTTGGTCCGCCTTGTTGTCCAACAAGGTCTGCACCATGGTCACTTGGTCGCTCTGGGCAGCTTCAATCGCACTTTGGCAGAAAACCGCAGTCACGACCTCAGCTATAGTAGTAGAACTTTGAGAGGTGCCACCGCCGCCAACTCGACGCCGCAGACAAGGGGCCCGTTGGAAGGGAGCTCTCGAACCGAACACAGAACACCAAAACGCATTCACTACCTGCACAACACGTGTCGGAGCGGTGGCTGGCAACAGATGCCCATTTTTACCGTTATTTTTGGACTGCAAGCGTCGCCAACGCTGACGTTAATGTACAGAACATAGTGCCAAAAAATCAGCGTTAACAAACGCCACAAGAGCGCTCAACACGGGCTGACAGGCCCATGCCAAGTTGCATTTAAAACTGCAAAATACGTGAACGCGATATAGAATAAAAAGCACACGGTCCACGCGGAGGAGATGAACTTCAATGGGGCCAGCACTTCCACCCAGCTTACCCCTCCGGCGATGCTCATGAAAAGGCTCAACATGCCATCTGCCAGAGAACCTCAGTTTGCGCTGACATGTCGTCCATGGATGGCGATTTTGAGACTAGCGTGCCAAGAAGAACTAGTCTCGCACTGCTTGCTGTATCACGGTAAAGTTTTATATTCCATTTGGAGCCTATTTACATTAATGGTCCTCTTCAAGCTCTTCTAGTATTCTTGCATCGGACTAGGTCCTGAGAGAGTTCTGGGGCTTACTGGATTGGGCCCTATTGGGCCCCAGTTGTTTCCAACCTCAATTGTGGCAGCGGAGCAGGTTTTCCGAAAGCAAGATGACCCGACAAACCACCCGCTCAAGGGCACCCAGCGTTGGATTTTCCGTGGCTTCTCGCACTTAGAAAGCTGGCCGCGGTGTCATCGCCGTGCGCAGCGTTGATGTTGCTGTTCCTGTCGCTGCTCCTGCTGCTGCTGTAGTTGCTGCTCCTGGTGTCCTGGTTGTCGTTGTCGTGGCCGTTGGCGTTGTCGTTGCCGGTTGCTGTTGATGCTGTTACTGCGGCTCTTGCTGTTGCTGTTGCTGTTGCTGCTGTTGCTGTTGCTGTTGCTGTTGCTGTTCCTGCTGCTGCTGCTGCTGCTGCTGCTGCTGCTGCTGTGCTGTTGCCGCTGCTGTTCTTGTTGTCCGTGTTGTCGTTGCTGTTGCTGTTCCTGCTGCTGTTGTTGTCGTTGTCGTTGTCGCTGTTGCGCTCTTGCTGCTCCTGTTGCTGTTGTTGCCGTTGTTGGCGATGGCGGTTGTTGCTGGTTTGTTGTTGCTGTGGTTGTTGTTTACTGTTAGTGCGATTG